CAACAACCTTCAACAACATCAAGGTCCAAAGTGCCCCTTCGAATTCACCGTCTTTGTGCCAGGTGTCACCTTTCATGTCAGTTTGGGGTTTTGAACAAGATCGTTTTGGTTTCAGACATGGAAAGTCATGACTACAAACGGTTCATTTATAGGGTCCTGAGTATAGCTTTGGGTTCAACGCTCAGACTTTTGTTTGACCCTTTGACCCCTTGGCGGTCAGGCGGACCACACGAACCGGTCATCCGAAAGTACAGAACCGGTCTTCCGCCACTTCGAGCACGCTTAAGCTGGTCCGATGATTTCACTCGGCCCTGTCGGGTTGGGTCCGACCTCCCCAGGGGGTGCTGGAGCCGGAGCCGGAGCTGGAGCAACTTCTGATAAGTCTACTGTAGTTGTTGACACTGGGGGCGGACCTGGAGTACTAAAGATGCCCTGGACGAGGCACAGGAAACAGTGCCACGAAAAGTTGTGGCTGGTCGCCCTGGGGCACCAGGCTGACCGATACAAAGCTGCTTGGGTGACTTGCTGTTGGAGATGCAGAAGAGTCAGATGTATATACAGCCTGGAAGAGACCCACATGGAACCTCATGGCATGGACCCAGTCTGGAAGACGATATGTGTTCAGCTTCCATGATACCCCTTTTCAGGCGACATGAGACGACGTGAGACCAGATCAGATGATCTGAGGCGAGCAAAGGAAATTGGATGTTCAAGGATCCTTCCCTAGGGATCCAGTCGTATCTTCGTTTCGGTGGGACTGGGGTGGTTGGATTTGGAGGGTCGAGTCGTGCCGTACCTGAGAAAGTACGACTGGATCCCTATAAGCCTATAGGGCTTTATCAAGTACCGACCTCACTTCACATGCAGTAACCCAGCGACCCAGTTCTCACCAAACCTTCCTGCTAGAGGCCCACTTGGCCCATCGTTGACTTCTATCTCTGAGTGAAAAACCAGGGTGCAAGCTGCTTCACGTGATCTCGTTTTGGGGTGTCACTGCTCCAAGAGCGGTTGATTGAAGCGACGCAATAATTCACATGATTCCGTTCGTTTCGACCGCGTGAACGCGCTTGGGCACGGTGCAAGGGCACCTGTGAGGGCCCGTCTGACTCGGCAGCCGTACTTTTGCAGCCGAGAACGCCACTGCAGCCGTACTTTCGTGGAAGAAAAGCTGGTGAAAAAAGAACGGCCCTTTCCATCATTGATGCACTTGCATAAGGATTTCTGGGAGTGTACTCTCTCACACTTCTTGGAATCATTAGAGAGGTGAAATGTGGTTGCTGCAGGCTGAAGGCTGAAGAATACAGTTCAATGGGCTATTGTTGTTCCAATTCGGAAAAAATCAGGAGACATCGCAGAAAGCCATGTGCTGTAGGTATACCTAGACCCTCCCGAGGCAATAATTTTTGCCGTAGGCTGTTGAGGCAATAATTTTTGCCGTAACTCATTTTTTCTGCCGTAGCTCAATCCCTGGAAAGTGAAAACGCCGTCAGAGAAGTGAAAACGCCGTCACAAAAGAAGAATCGCCGTTTTGTTTGATCTACCAAAGAGGATATTGTTTTGGTCCGTCCATACCCTGAAATTGCCTTCTCCTTTTTCACTTGTAAGTAGAGCTCATCGTTTTCAAGCCTCATGGTAGCAATTCTCAAGATGTTGCAGCCCTTGTCTAAGGTCTCGATTGACATCACGGCAGGGTTGTTCACATTTTGATGATGCAATGGCTGAAAGGATCGTTGTGACATGTTGTTTCAAGTCTTGCTGCCACCTTGAGTGACCCTAGACAGGGTAAGGGAACGACGCGGTAAGTAGGGGGAAAACGCCGTAAGTACGGGGAAAAACGCCGTAAGTACGGGGAAAAACGCCGCAAGTACGGGTAAAACGCCGTAACTTTAAACGCAAAGTCTTCTGCAACGCCACGCAAGAGGTCGAGTTACCCGCGAAAACCGACGAAAACCCAGCATGTGACACTTCCATCAGCTGCCCTTTCCACTTCACATGACTATGCGAGTTTGCTGATATAATAAGACGCCTTTTACGTTCAGTTGCCTTTCAAGCAAGACCCTACAATGTTTTCATACTCGCCTGCACTAAAACTAAAACGAAATGACTCTTTGAGGCGCATGGATGTGTGGACCAAAATTGCCGTCAACTGACCGAAACTGCCGCAGTTCATCAAGAAACGCCGTCCCCATGAGATCAATATGGAAGAACGCCGCAGAACGGAAAAAGGCAACGTTTCATGAAAACGGCAATTATTATTGCCGTAACGAAGTTCCAGGTATATACCAGACACATACTTCGGAGTTTGCAAGAATGCTCTCCCTCTATCGTCCGGGTATCCACTGAATCTACTCCCCCTGCTATTCGGACCGCATGGGACCCCAGAGCGGGGTTGGTCTTCGGAACATGCGTTGAACAACGGGTCAGGGCCGGTCATGTTCGTCAAGACCGGGTGGAAATTTGTATGACACGTCAGGATGAAAAGGGTACCATCCTCCATACCAATTCCATACCATCCTCCATCCCCCCAACAAAAAAGACCTGGAATCGATCTATCTCCACTCTGGGCGAGCCGAGTCCTCCATCTTAGTCTACTGCTGTGGCGTGGTCCCGCGGTTCATCCTTGTGCCTCCCCCCCCAAGAACCCTCCAAGCTTCACGCCAGATCTGGTCCGGGTTGAAGACACCCCCCTGCTAGAGCAAGGTTTGAAGGGTCCAAAAGTGTCCAGTGTTCATGTCGGGTCGTGGTGGACGGTGAGGGAAACACCATGATTTACGATGCATTTCGACATTCTTGAAGCTCCAATCAGCCCTTGGCCCCTTCGTCTCTCAAAACCTTGGGATTGGTTCGACCTGAGACTCCAGACTCCTGAGGATTCGGGTGCAGGAGCGTATGGGACGATCAAAGACCAACGCAGACCGACCGACCGTAGCCCGCGCGAGACCTGAATCTTTGACATGTGGCATGGGACGGGCCCAGCGGTTTGAATCTACCCCATCCGGCGCTCACGCGGCACCATCCGGGTACCATCAAAAGAGGCGAAACAAAGTGCTGAAACAAAGCAGAGGTTGGTCTGCTGGTTGTGAATTCAATCCAATCCTGGGAATTTGGTTGCTTTTATTATTGAATTCTTCGGGATTTGGCATTCCAAAATTCAGTGAAGAAGCCGAAAGGTGGGTCAGTGGCTCTAGTGCCCTGAATCGGTTTTGTTGGTGGGGCTTTGGAGATGTTCCCACTATAGGAAGTCCACTCCAATCATGAAAACAACTCTCCACTCCAATCGGCCCATCACGCCTCCAGACTGGATCCGCAGATGGGTTTTCACGAGCTGACTCCAGCCCTGGTCCATGTCGGTTGCGAAAGAGTTTCAACATACCCAGCTATATAGGGAATACAAAACAAAAACCAGATGGAACCCACGAAGCCAAATGGAACCCTCCTGCACAATACTCCTAAGAATCATGCATGTTCCAAAACGGCCTGTTAGTACTTCCTAAGAATCCCAGTGGGCCCGACACCTGCTTCGCAGCGGGGTCCCGACAAACCACCATGGCTCCCTTCCCATTGGCTCGTGTCTGGGGGTCTGATTTTTGATCTCATGACTCCACCAGGCTGCTCCTGTTCCCCAACCTGAGTGGATTAGCATCATGAATCCCTATAGGGATACCTTCTCCTCAGCTTCGGTAGAACTGGACCCGACGTGGCACCTACATAGCTAGCGGTGTCGAACTGTCCTCACCGAGGGTACGACAACGGATCCGTCAACGGACCAAAGCCCAGCACCCTGCATCCATCGCCCCGAACAAGAACCTGGATGGGATTGGCCCAAAGCCCAAAACTGAAAGACTGCGCCTGTCGCATCCCAAAAGCTCGCGATGCGCCCGTAGCAATGCTGCACTGGTGAATGGGAGTGGGAGTGTTTTGACTCAGGAAGGTGTGCAGTTTTCCCGTTCAAAAAAAGACAGCCAGCCATTCGTGAGGCAGTTGTCTAGTTTCTGTTAAAAAGGGCCATCCTCGGCACCAGCTTTATATCATTTTGGGCTCGGCTCAGTCCAGCCAGGAATCCCGTTGTTCACTCAAAGTTTGCGGATAAGAAGACCCTAGGGATCCAAGTACCTTCTTAGAAGGTGATTGGAGGCACTGTTATGTAGGTTTGGAGGGTCCAGTCGTACCTTCTGAGAAGTTATAACTGCATCCCTATAGGGAGAGATGGTGGACATGAAGTAGACTCAAAAAGAAGATGAGTGCCGATCCCTGCCCCACAGCTGATCCCTGCCCACACGGTGCCTCGTCGACGTCATAGGCCGTCGGCAACATGTACCAGGACCCGACGACCCCTATTTGGGGTGTCTATTTATAGCCCCGAAAAGCTGTGATTCGGGGTTAATCATTAACCACCCCGACTGGGGGTCCTGGGAATGGTCACTTGTGGGTCCTTGAGTGCCAAGACTTGGGTCCTTCAGTGCCAAGACTGGCCGAGCCAGACCCTTTGAATCGAAGAAAGGATTTGGCCTGTTTGCACTTAAGCGGCACCAGCGCTGCATGCCATGCAACCTCTGCCAGGTCGTCACCGCAGCGTTGATCACTTCAGCTTAAGAGAATCTTGACGTATAGTTCTAGTAAGTCTGTCAAGGCTTTCTTCATGCATCGTTTGCTAGGTGGATGTTGCTCAGTTGGCATCGGATGTTGGTATCGCTGGATTTGGATTGGCACCGACCGACCATTGAGAAGGTCAGGACGTCCCGGCGAGGATGTCCATCATTTCCATCGTCCATTGAAACATGTTTAGCTCCGCGGTTCGGGTCGCCTGGTTCGGATACCTGCCTCGAAGCTGCGAAGCTGCGAAGCTTGTTCTGGGGCTCCTCCGGGTCTAAGAATTGATAGTTCAACCCCCCACACCTTCCAGCTTTCCTACCTTTCGTGTCTCCCTCTTCTCTAAGTTCTTTATACCACCATTCCAAGCTCACAAAGCACCTGAAGCGCCGTGACTCTGCCATGCTGCGATGGACACCGCCGTGGAGGAGGCGCCCTGCGGCGTGAAGCGACGGGGAACCGACGTCTTCACCCCGTTTCGGGGGCTCGGTGACCGGGCTCGGGGCGGTGACCGGGCTCGGTTCGAGGTCCCAACGTGGCACCCACCGAAACAACCGAACCGAAACGAAGGTACCACTGGAGCCCTGCCGGGGTCGTTCGAACAGAAGCTTCCCACTAACCGGCCTCGCGCTCCGTACGGAGCGCTCGGGCGTGTCCTTACCTCGACGGACCGGACGTCAGGGGTCTTCTGACACGTGGCGAGTGAGAAGACACGGAAGACGAGGACTGCGGGTGAACTGAACTCCCCAAGTTGAACTGGAGAGTGATGGTAGAGCGTTGATGCATTCAATGACCACGGCCGGGAGATGTAACACCTTAAGTTGTTATTCTATATAGTCCATCATATGTGTGTGACTGACCTTCAGTTCTTCAACGTGTGCCATCCTGGGAGGCAAGACAAAAATCGAACTCGAAGCGAAATGCATTGCCTTTGATCAGAACACACCAATAATTCAAATATATTCAACTATGATGGACATTGCGCCGTTTCATGGAGATCTAATTCTCACATCTTCTCACCCAGAATTGGAAGTTCCTGAAGCCATGAAGCTCTTCTCAGATCTTGTCTTGCTCTTCAGCCCCACAAGTGACGCGAACTGTTAAGGTGACTCCAGGAGTTCAGTGGGTCACCTGGTCACCCTGTGTCGGGGGGCAGGACATCCAGTCCGTTCCTCCGATCGAGGATCGAAACGACTGCTAGTCACGTCATCGTTTCGCCCGCCTCAACCGACTTCCGGTGGGTCGCTTTGAATGAACCGTTGGACGTTGAAGTCGAGACGAGAGTCTCTACAAGAAGCTCAGCCCGACTGGACCCTCCAAAGCTATAACAGTGCCGAACACCGTGACAGCAGGGTCTTTCACAGCGGTGTTGGCGTGCTGACATGAACGGTGGCGAACACCGTGGTCACTGTGCAGGTGCTTGAAGCCCTCAAGAAGGAGGCCTTCTTTTGGCGTGGCAAGCAGGCGAACCGCGGCGCGGCCGCGTGCGCGGCCGCGGAGACAAAGATTCATGTTTGGACCTGAGGAGCCAGTAAGCGGCCAAAAGCTCAGGTGTCATAGTGGACTACAAAAAAACACCCACTTTCTTATCAAAGTCGGCCAATCGGGTTTGTCACTTGTTCAGACATCTAATTGCAGATGCGTGGTCGACAACTGTCCAGCAACCAAAGGTCATGAGTCATGAGTAACCAAGCTACATCAGATTTGAGAGTGTGCCACAATCCCAAGACCTATGGAATTCCCATTGCATGGTTTCCCTTTGCGGGTTCCAATCAACGACCGAGCTCTGATGTGCGGCAACTGAGAGAGCTCCGCACTGACCTTCCTTTTCTTCGCCAAGTCTTCCAACGAATTGCTCAGGATCCTCCGCCCTCGGAGCCAAGTTAAAAGAGAATCGCTTCGCTTCCTCCGGAGGCCACCAAAGCGGAGGTTCGCTCCGCCGCGGAGGCTGAGGCTGGGGCAGGGCAGGCAGAGTTGGTTGTTTTTAATGCTCTTTTTAAAGAGGAAAGGGACAGAGAACATGGGATCTCCTTTTTCCAATGTTCCAGTCTATACCCATCATTGACGGTCAAAGAACTGAATGTAATATTACATAATTGACATCACTGTTTGGTGAGAAAAGGACTGCAAGCTAACCATCATCCGGCTAAGATCACCTAAGATCTCTCCCTCCACTTCCGAGTTGGAGCGAGCTCTTCGGGATTCGTTGATGTGAGGGGTTTCTTCTATGGGCACCGAAACAAATACCATCCGTTCAGTCGGCGCCCAACGGTTTGGAGATGGTTTCACATGGAGCTTCCCCCGGAGGGATGCGGTAGTTGTCTCACACAGTGTGTGTTCGTGGGGCCACTGGGGAGAAGGTTGAAGGTGGAAGCCAGATGTATTCATGGGTTGTCTCAGCCATTCATTTGGGCGAACATCTTTGTTGAATCTGCGCAACGCTTCCAAATGATGAGGCGTATGTATTGGATGGATGCAAACTGCTTGGAATTCTGTGGTGATCATTTTGGGATTTGTGCTAAAAGAAGAACAGTTCTCAAAACGTATTGAGTTGGTGTATTGTGCAATAACCTCCCGACGAGGACCGATATGTCGGGATAGGTGAGTCGCAGGCTTGGTCTCTTTTTCACGACCACAACGCCGTGGACCGAGGCAGATCGCTTTTAAGCGGAAGAGGGCTTTCGCGCATCGTTCGAACGCTTTCGTTCGACCAGGCCGTTGGTTGAGTCTATGAACTGCCAACAGATCCTCACAAGCCATGCTGCCTCCGAGCCAAGAAAAGGTAAAACCAAGTGCATCAAAGCGTACCTGGCAGGCATAAAGCAACGTCGAGACAGAAATTACTGTAACCCCGGCGGACCCGGCTGAACATAAAATAATGTCGCCAAACCACTGATGACCCAGTACAAACATGCACATGCATAAGTTTCCCGGAGAACGCAAAAAAGCGGGAGCATCTGCGGGAATGCGACCCGACCCAGACTTCCCATGTGACGGAACCTGTGAATCCTTGAGCTGTCGAAGACCTCAGCAGTTCCGTTCCATTGGCTCGGTCATCTCTAGTGACATTCCATTGTCCTATCCTACCTACTTACAGAAAGCACGCGCTGCAGGGTCACACGCTTTCCGGTCACATGCTGCAGGTCTGTCCCCACTCGAGCCCAAGAGGTGGATAGTTCGGATCCTAAACCCTAAACTCTCGAGTTCTCTCCTTGGAATCGGAATTCAACAATCACCAGTTTGGGCAGCAAAAGGGTCATCCTGTCGGGCCGTGCCATCCACTTCCATGATGATTCCAGCGTCGTGAAGCATGGTAAGCCTATTCCATTCTAGTTTTACCTTGACAAAACAAAACCACCCCCGACAGAAGTCCTTGTTTTTTGCACTGACGATGGAATGACCGGTCAGGCCTTCGACTGCACCGCGCGGCTGGGCTGGAAGATTGGGGCTGCAAGGAATGCCCGGTTGGGTTGCAACAGCGGTGAATTTCAACCACTGCGGTGGATTTTCCGGCGTGGGGTTCATGGGACTTGAATAATGCTGAAAAATCTCTGAGACCAAAGGATGATTTTCTCTGTGGAGTGAGTTGACGAGACGCTGAAAAAACTCATTTTTCTCGGTGGCTTCTAAAAACATCTAAAGCACAGGATCATGCACATGCAGACCAGAGGTGGAGTGCGGCCCCTTTGTTGGCAAGCATGATGCAGTTGAAAGGTATAGACATGTGAAAACAAAGAAAGGGCTCTTTGGTTGATTGCTCAGGTTTCTGGGATCTCCCAGGTCGCAGGAGATAGGGTTGGCCTGCAAATTTACCGATTTCATTTCAGACCATGGGATTCTTCATTCCAACTCCCAAGACCAGACAGATGGCCATGCATAGCCACAGATTTGTTTCAAAACAGTTCAAACATGTTCAAAGAAGATCACTTATTGGGTCCCCCTGGAATTTGGCATCCTCTTTGCCACTTCTCTAGAACTTAGAGAAGGGTTTTCAAATCATCAAAACACCATGTGTTGGGTCTGTCCCATTACTTGTAACAGTCGCGCTAAACATCATCATGCACCCGGCCCCGGTAATAGGATATACCCAAACAATGTGACAACTGTGTTTTTCCACCTGTGTGTTTGGTCGCAACTTCCGGGGCTCCCCCGAGGTCGAGGTCGGAGGACCAGGCGCGTTCTGCGGTCCGCGGTCGCATGCGGATTGAGAGCCAGACTACGTGTGAGCTTGCTGGTGTAGGAAACAACAGTGCAGAGCGCGCACTAGATGCACAAAGCTTTTTGGTACACTTCTCGATTTGTGGTGGTGGGACTCACCACCCCACCATGTAGCCTCAGTTGGTGAAGCGCCTTCCCTGAAGAAACTCGAGAAGCTAAAAACTGCGGAGCAGCAAAACTCGTGTCATGAATTGTTCCGGGAAAAAACTTGTCCCTCCCACCCACCTCAATGGATACTGCTCTCCTGATGTTCGGGCGGTCGCATCTTCCGCACCGGTGCGCCGGCGGAGAGAGCATAGGGCCCAGAACAACGAACACCAGGCCCACCCACCTCAATGGATCAAAACTGGTTACCAGGACTTGGAACTAAGAGCAGCAAAACTGGTCACGGCGCTTGGTCTGACTTGTAAGAAAAAACCCGCCTTCGACTCTTTTCCATGTTGAGAGGGATCCAGAGATAAGCACAGTTGCCGCACTATAGGCGAGCAATTATATAAATTCCCTGGCCCCATGTTCGGAAAGAAGGGGTCAAAAGGCAACACAAAGGCAAAAATTCTAGCATCAGTTTGTTGGTGTGACGCTGTACCAGAGCACTTCGACGACTATACAAAACAGAAGGGCTCTGGAAAACTGCGTTGAGGCGGTTGGGGTAACCACAGTTCAGAAAATGATAAGTACATTCGAGTCTTCAAAGTGAAGTTGAACAGGTGACAAGCCTGCATACCCTGCATAATTCAGCCTTGATCCAGGGTTCATGAACACATTCCATGGTTTGAGTTCAACAAGTATCGAAAAAAACATGTTGGTGGGCTTGAAAAAAGTCTTGCACTTCAAGTGGTCACCAACCCTCGTGATCTCAAGGTCAAGAGAGTTGATTGAAAGTTCGCTCCAGACTCCATTCACACTTGGCTGAGTAAGCAGAGTTGCACGCATTGAAAGCGCTCGCAAAAGACTCCGGCAGCTCAGCGTCAACAGAACCAGGCAAAATTACAACAACAACAACATCATCTCTGAAGCGGTCATAGAACATGGCCTCATGGATGAGTGCAACAAAAACCTCGTAGGATCAATGAGCACAGCCACTGTGATGTCACACGCCTCAGAGGCAAGGATGCCATTTGCACTTCAGATGGCATTCGCCTTCAGATGTTATATTGGTGCTGCAAGATGGCGTATGCAAGGTCAGCAACAGCATGCAACAGCTAAGGCGTCATCAACTCCAAGCGTTTGAAGTGAAATCAAAATGCTTCTCGCAAACATGTCAGGAGAAGTGCTGGAACATCCTTGATGTCACCACTACCAAAACACAAGTTTCAGGGAGAATCAAGGATTCCAGAGCAACAACAAGCTGACGAGGGTCACGAATGACATACTGCGGAATCAACAACTTGCGATAGTCGCAGCGACAACGCCTTTTTCGAACCAATGGGGACACCCCCCCACTGCTCATCTCATTTGGGAGGCACAAGTTAACTCACCTCCAGGTAGAACATGTATACTGTAAAGTTGAAGAACCATGCGATTGACCGTTCACGAACTGACAGCTGACAGGACAACAAAGTGGGACGTCACAGGTTCACTTTCCGTGATGTCTCGGTTCGAACCCCGGACCTAGGCCTTGAGCCTCCCGCGAGCCCCAAAAGGTTCGTGTGTGCGCTCATTCCGCGCTTTGCACGTAGCGGAGCCTAAAGGTTGCTCCGAGGCTGGTGTGCTGCCATCTTGTTCGCCCTGCGGATTTGGTTGGTGTCCCCTCCCTCGGAGCTGGAACTTGGAGCGGTCGTATTTGTGCCCTTCATTGTTCGGTGGATAGCAGTCTGGGGTGATTTTGGCTCACTATTGTACCGGAATTGTCATTCTCGAGTACTTTGTGAAGGCTGGACACTTCGGAAGTTGCTGAGGTAATTTGGTGCAAGTTTTTGTTGGCTCGCAGTATCACCTTTTGATTTTGCACGATTTCGATTTTACAATGCAGTCAAATGGGCAATCATTGTATGTTGACCCGAAGTCCAACGTTGTGCATTATGACGGCAATCCAAAGTTGGCTGAAGAATATGAAGAGCGGGTATGGCTGGGTTTTCAAACTGTGATGAAGGAAGAGAAAGTGTCCTATGCAGCAAAACTCAAGAACGCATTGCATGGCCGTGCATGGACACTCTGTCACAGGAAGCCCGAGATCGCAGCTCAGAAACTCCTTCAGCTGAGTGAATCGGACCCGAGCACAACGACAGGACCACGAGCAGCAGTACAACTGGTGGTAAAAGTTGTGAGGAATGCTTGTGAGAAGGTTGCTCCATTGCTCAAGACCCAGACCTTCGAGGACTATTTCTTTGAGAAAGGTCGAAGGAAGGCATCAGAAAGCATCCAAGACTACATCAGTCGTCGAGAGAATGAGTATGAGAAGCTGACAAGTTTGACACAAGGTCATACAAAGTTGTCGACAGATTTGCAAGCCTTTTTCCTACTGAGGAATGCTGGTGTGAGTTCATCGCAACATCGTGCCATCCTGGGACAGGCAGGGAATGAGTATGATTGGGACAAAATCGTTGAAGCTATGCTCATTCAATTGGACGGTGGTGATGACACCAGCAGCAACAAAGGTTGGAAAGGTGGCTTCAAGTCAAGACAACAAAGCAGCTACAATACAGGTGGCAAAAGAAGCGCATGGGCCTACCCAATTGAAGAGGAGTGGTCAAGCTATGATGGTGAGACTGAGGATGTGTATGCAGTCGATGACTGGTACCACGATGAGGAAACAGCAGAAGAAGGAGTCCCCATCTATGAGGTTGAAGAAGACATCCAGTTCGACATTGAGGAGATGGAACACGCCGTGGAGGTGATGGCAGTTGATGATCTCTCTCTGGAGGAATTGGACATCTTCGCTATGACCGCTCAGAAGATGGGTAAGGGTGCTTCAGAATATGCTCGCAAAAGACAAGCGGTCAGAGATGGAAAGGTCAACAGAGGATATCAACCTAGCGCAGTTGGCCACAATCGAACAGCAATTGCATTGGATGGCAAGGTGACTTTCAATGCAGGACAGCTACAAGACAAGTTGCAGCAGATCAAGTCACGGACGCAGTGCTATGACTGTGGACAAAAGGGACACTGGCGGGGTGACAAGTCATGTCCAAAGAGCACGAGTTCATCATCAAGTTCAAAAGGCGGCAAGAAAGGCTCTGGAAAGAAAGGAGGCCGTAAGGGTGGTTTCTCCAGAGGGTTGGAATGGCAGCAGCCATGCTCGCCTCGGCATCGGGACAGCTGCTCGCATCATGCCAAGATGCCTTGAACAGTTTGAACTTGTCGTGTATGGAGGAGTTCCATGAGTTTGACATCGAGGATCAGATTCACAGCTGGCCCAAGTTCGAGACCTTTGAGGAGCAGCAGTCGCTGTCACAGGTAGACGCCTTCATGACAAATGAATCTGAGTTGGCAACAGTTCCACACAGTTTGACATTCATGGCCGGAGCCGGACGCGAGACAGTGCCGTCCGGAATGTGTGTTGTTGACACAGCTGCATTGATTGGTTGTGGTGGTGACCGAACATTGGACCGTTTCATTGGCAAGTTTGGAAGCGAGACAACTCTCCAGACATCCAACAAGGTTCTGAAAGGAGTCAACGCAGACGCACCAGTCCTTGTGCAGCATCAGCAGTGGATCGACATCCACATTGCCGGTCAGAAAGGTCGTGTGGCTTTGCATCGAATTCCCAATTCAGATGTTCCATTGTTGTTGGGCCTTCCTCAACTCAAAGAGCTTGGTGCGGTCATTGCTCTCACTGCAGTGCCAAAGCCGACCATTCAGTTTACCTCCATTGGTTCGGAAAAGGTAACCTTGGAATATGGGAAAGGTGGTCATTTGCTCTTGGACATTGGTAACAACAGTGAGAAGAGAAAAGACACTAAGCTGGCAGGTGAAACAGTTGAAGTGTTTCATCAATTGAAGGCGAAGGACTACAACGTGGAGTCGATCAGAATCATGAAGGGGAAGCTTCGAAAGAAAGTTCAACAGATGGCTGAACAAGCTAAAGAACATGGAAGAGCTCTATGGAAAGAACTACGAAAGGGAGCCGTAAAGCGAGGGAGAAAGGTGCTTGTGAAGGAGCTGTACAGTGGAGAAGATGGTGGTGTGGTGACGAGGCTGGCAAAAGACAATGATTTCTCCTATGGTCGTCCTCGAGACTTGTTGCTGGGGGACAATTTTCTGAAGGAAGAAGAC